TTACCTTTAATAGCATGAGTATGTGTGAATTCTTTAGGATTTTTCTGCCTATAAGAGTATGCCATTTGTGAAAAGATTGTCTTATTCCTCTTTTTCCTCCCTATCCCTTTTTCAGAAATTATTTTTCTTATCCAATTGCCTTGGTTAAAACTTCCATTTTAATGTTTGACAAGAGTGGCCATTCTCATTTTGTTACCAGTCACGGGGTGAAAGCTTTCAGTCTTTTTCCACTTAAGTATATACTGATGCCTTCTGTTGGTATTTGAATATCCCCCTTTATGAGACTGAAGCAGTTCTCATCCATTTCTAGGTTGTTTTCTTCATGAAAGAATTTTAGATTTTGTCAAATACTTTTCTGTGTTTAACAAGATGGTCATATATGGTCTCTGTCCTTTACTCTGTTCCCACTGTATACTATACTGATTTAGTTTCAGATGTAAAACCAACCATTCATAGGGTAATTCCCATTTGATCATGATTCGTAATCCTTTTTATATTGCCTGATTCAGCTTAATAATATCACTGTGGAGTTCTGTGTTTGTATCATAAGGAATATTGGTCCCTGTCTTTCTTTTCTTGGAATGATTTTGGTATTGGGCAATACTTGTCTATCTTTTTAGGGAAAAGTTTGTGAAGGATAAGTAATTGATTCTTTTATGGATGGTAGAAATCACCAGCAAAACTGTCTGGGCCTGAGCATTTTAGAAACATGTTGATTACTTGTTTTAGGTTTACTTGGAGTTTCAATTTGTTCTGGAATCAGTTTTGGTAGTTTGTGTCTGTGGTGGTTAGTTCTATATATCATCTTGATTGGGCTAGGGGTACCTAGATTAAATATTATTTTGGGGGGTGTCTGTGAGAGGGTTTGTGATGAGATTAGCACTGAAGTCAGTAAATTCATTAAAGTAGATTTCCCTTCCCATTGTTGGTGGGCACAATTCAATCCATTGAGGGCCTGGACAGAACAAAGGAGGAATTCACCCCTTTTGCTTTCTACCTGTCTACTTTAGATGGGATATTGGCCTTCTTTTGCTCTTGAACTGGGATTTGTACCATTGGCCCCTCTGGCTCTTAGATCTCCAGACTTGGACTGAAATCACACCAATGGCTTTCAGGAATCTTCTATCCCACAGACATCAGACTGGGACTTTTCAGTTTCCATAGTCATGTCAGCCCATTCCTCACAATAGACACACCTCCCCTCCATCTTCTTTTTTTTCTCTCTCTCTACACACAAACACATACACACACACACACACACACACACACACTCTCTCTCCTCTCTCTCTCTCTCAGTTCAGTTTTTCTAGAGAACTCTGGCTAATACGATGTCTTCAGAGAGACTTTTCCATCTATTTAGATTAACTAATTTGTTAGCATACAATGATTCAGAGTATTCTCTTTTATTTTTATAAGATCTATTGTTCTCTTATTTCCTGATTTAGATAATTTGAATTTTCTGTCTTTTTTTACTTAGTCTAGTTAAAGATTTGCCAACTTTTAAAGTTTTTTCAAAGAATCAATTTTTGGTCTTTCTGATTTTCTCTATTGTTTTTCTAATTTGTCTTCCTTCCAATCTTCATGATTTCTTCCATTCTGCTTGCTTTGGATTTAGTTTGCTCTTTTTTATATTGTTTCTTAAGATGTGGGTTTAGATTATTGATTTGAGGTTTTTCTTCTTTTTAAGATAAATGTTTATAGCTATATATTTCTCTCTAAACCTTGCTTTAACTTTGTCTCATAAATTTTGATATATTTTCATTTTCATTCACCACAAAATATTTTTTGTCAGTCCTTTGCAATATCTTCTTTGATTCTTTCATTATTTGGAAGTGTGTTATTCCCTATCAATTTGTAAATTTTCAAAATCTCCTTTTATTTTTTATAATTTCATTCCATTATGGCAAGAGAATATACTATTTTATATGATTTCTTAAATTCCTGGAACCAGTGAGTCTCTTATATTTTATTGAGGAGCTGTGAGGGGGGCATGCATTTTATAATGCTGCCTTGGGCTTCACTTTTCCTTTGTACCAGGGCCTTAAGGCCTGCCAGAGGTAAGAATTTAGAGTGTTCTCAAGTCTTCCCTGAGCATGGGCATAGCCTTGGGCACATATACATATGCACAGCCTTTTAGATTCCCAGGAGTTTGTTAGAGCTTCCTGATGCCCACTACAGGATTCTCCTTCTCCAGGTTACCCTTTTAAGTTTTTAGCTTCTTGTTTGCTCAGCTGTTATCTCTGTCTCAGGCAGCTGTGATGTTAAATAATTGTTGCTGCTTGTTTTGATAAATATCTAGGTCAAAGGTTATTTTCACTGAGCACATTGAGCCAGTGAAATAAACTTAAGTCCTTTGAATGATGGTGTAAAGGGAACTTTCAAACAGGTCAGTTAATGACAATGCTCTGAGCACTGTCAGGGGATGGGAACCTAGACCCTGCCTTGCACCCTGACCACCTGTAGGCTCCTGGTTTTTGCCATGATTGAGGACCTGTTGGTTCTGAAGATTGCTGTGGAGTTTAGAAGAGGTTTTTACCAACATGCAGCTGGTTTTCTCCAATAAACACCCTTGGATTGTTACAAGCTTTTGGTTAACTTTTAGGATCTGGGAAGTTGATTGCAAAGATTTCTGTTAATGTTTTTGTTGCTTTTATGGAGGAGTATATTTTTGGAGATCTTTACTCTGCCATTCCTGATGATGTCCTAATTTCATAATTTTAAGTTAAATCTATACGTACTTGGAAGGCTTAAGGTTTTTCTCCCCACGTTCCAATATATCATTGAGTATGTCCACATTTAGGAGGCTGCCAGTGTAATGTACAATCCCCCCCTCAAAACTCAATTAAGGTTTATACATATCTGGAGGTCATATCACATGGCATCACATGGTTATGATGGCTCCTTCTGTCTTCCAGATTTCCTTGTGGCATCTCCATTCTCTCAGGTAAGTGAGATCGAAACTCTACCCACAAGCCCCACTTTTCTACCACAGCATCTCTCTGGCCTATAACAGTCCCCTTTACCTCCCTCCCTCACAGAAAGTGAGAATGCATATAAACACCACTTGGTGAGTGTTGCCTCTTTTCTTTTGCGTGGCCACCTAGGTTTTCATAATCAAGACCCCACTGATCTATACATCAGATAAGCTGGGTTCTGACTCTAGTTTAGTTCTGTGAAATCTTTTCTACCTATTGTGTCGAAAGCTATCCGTGGGCTGTGTGTGGCCTACAACATGCATCGAAGCCTAATGAATATAGAATCTGGTGGCTGGGAACTTGCAGTGGATACTTCCTCTGGTTGACTGCCTAGACACATTATAAGCCCTATGCAGCTCTGCCTGGTCCCACATAGCACTGGGGACGGGGTGACCTGCTGTAGCTGCACAGCCTCTCTGAGATGCGTGTGACCTGCCAAGATGCCAATCAACCTGTGGACTGCCAAGACATCATGAAGCAAGACTCCATGCTTGAAACCTTATCCCTGCTTTTGATGTACCTCTTAAATAATCCATGAGAGCTATTTTCTAATTGTCTAGCTCCATCTCTTGTGTAAACTGGACCTATCAGGGGCTCTACCTTTTTGAAACTATCTTTCCAACTTTATCTTTTATTCTTCACTAATTATTCTAGATTTTAATTTCTTAGGAGGCTTACACCCTCCTTGGCAGGAAGAAAAACCCCCAATGAGGTGCTGGCCGCCTCCCCATACCATTGCACAAATTTATAGAATATTATTGAATTTTCCACTATGGGATGAACTTACAGTTAGTTCAAGGAGATATAAATAAGTAAACTCCATGTAATATACTGTAGTGGAGAACTATATATAAGGATCAATTAAGAAGACATCTGAATTCCTCAGAAAGCTTGGAATGGAACTACCATTTGACCCAGTTTACCCACTCCTTGGCATATTCCCAGAGGACTTAAAAACAGCATATTACAGTGATGTGGCCACATCAATGTTTAAAGTAGCTCAATTCACAATAGCTAAGCTATGGAACCAATCTAGGTGCCCTTCAACAGATGAATGGATAAAGAAAATGTGGTACATATACACAATCGAATATTAGTCAGCCATAAGAAGAATGAAATTATGGCATTTGCCAGTAAATGGATGTAACTGGAGACTATCATGCTAAGTGAAATAAGACAATCTCAAAAAATCAAAGGCTGAATGTTTACTCTGATATGCAGATACTAACTCACAACAGGAGGAGGAGAGTGCAGGTTCACCAGATTGGACGGGGTGGGGGGGGGGATTGGAGGAAAGGGAGAGTGGATGGAAATGAGAAAGTCAGTAGAATGAATAGGACATAACTTTCCTCTGTTTATATATGAATACACAGCCAGGGAAATTCCACATCATGTACGACCACAAAAATGTGAAGTTATACTGCATGTATGTATGTCAAAATACATTCTAATGCATGTATAACTAAAAAGAACAAGCAAAAACTTTTAAAAAGAAGACATCTGAAAATATGCTTTTCAAAAGCAGGCTTTCTTTGCTAAATTCAAGAATATGTTGTGAGAACCCTGAGACTTCTACTGCATACATAAGATGCAGTAAATATGTCTTAACCTTAGAGCATCTATTTCCTCAATTTTGAAGCAGGAGTGACCCCTGTCCTTTCTTTCTAAGACTGAGGTAGACAATGAGCAGAGAATACACATGTATGGTCTTTGAGAAGTGCCTTACAAATTTCAGATATTGTTAAGGCAAAATTACTATAAATAAATAAAATTATATGGACATTCTCATTTTTTATTACCTATGCATCTCAAGCATCTGTATTGAAACATTGGTTTGGGCGGGTTAAAAAAAATAAATAATTGACCTCAGCTGATCATTTTGTAGAGAAATTTTTGTGAGTAGAATTCTAAAAACTCGGTGAAAGCATTTGTGATTACTGATAATTCATCTTCACACTTAATATTACAGATAGTTTCATGCTTCATAAAAACAATCCTGGAGGGAAAAGAAAAGCAGTTACTTACGCTCTGTTTTTAACTGTCCAAGGATGGAATTTTCTCCTCTGCACATGGTTCTGAAAGTATGCAAAGAAATAATTATGGAGGTTTCAAAACAACCAATTTCGACTGCAGTATGTGTGGGTATAATCCCAATCCAAGTACAAACAGAACAAGTGCTTCTAATGAGAAGGTGCCTACATGTTTTAAAGCTAAACACAGGTGAACATCGCTTTTGTAATGTAACTAATTGGACAAAGCAGCTTTGAGGTGGATAAATGGAAGAGTTATAAAATTAAAGTTAGATTTCACAAAGAGAAGCTATTTTTAAAAAGATGAGTTATAAATGAACTTTTCCTCTTCTAAATTTTGGTGACAGAAAAGATAAATCTAGCATGCCTCAATAGATAAGAATACTGAAAAGTATCACATTGCTTTCCAAGGTGAAAAGTTCGAACCATTGGCAGAGTGATTTAGGAATTCAGCAAACTATTACATTACATTGTCTCCATAAACTCCACAAAAGCCCTTAAACGTAAAAACAAAACCAGACTTAACTGACTCTGCTTATGATTTTGTTTCTCAAGACTCTGATAACAGTTGATGAATAATACAGACTGAAAAAAAATTCTATGCTCCATCTGCTTGCTCTATGAAAGTAATTAAAAATACAGTTATGCCTGGGAAACGCTGATATTATGAAAGATGATGCCAGCAAATAGAGATGTTTTTGCATAATAAAAGGTTATAGTTTGGGTTCTGAACAAGAGCCAAACATGTATTCCATTCAGCTGGTTCAAACTCAAGAAAACAGTCATAGGAAATAATTACAGCTGACAATATTCCAAAAATAATATTAGAATGGCAAATGAAGCAGATGAAATCCAATTAAACATTATGTCAGTGACTTAAATACTTGAAAAGCTTTATGTGTCATGCTCTAAATCAGATAACATTAGAAATGGCAAATCTTCAATCCGAGTATATAGACCAATACAGTTCAAGTTCTCTCATACTGTAACTAGGAAAAATTACCCCAGGGGAAACAGATCCTTACTTATGACCCTGGGAGATAGACACAATGGCTGAAAACTCCAGTGCATTCAGATTGTACGTGCAGAGCAATTTGACCTACACTTTGAGCACTTCTTGTATTTACAAATCCACTTCTTGGATTACAAAGTGTGAGATCTTATTTGCCCCTTCCAACTCTCTAAAAGGTTAAACTAGAAAGGAGAGAAACTAAAGGTGGTTTGAAAAAACAAGAACTATTTAAAGAAAATACCCAGGTTCTAGTCTTTGTTGTGACTTATCACCAGGGTGATCCATCCTGTGTGGGACTCTTGTGTATCAGGTCCAAGCTCATACTCAGGAGCCATATTCATATCCAGGCCTGTCCACGCACTCACCTCTTGGTTTCCAATCTCTTTCCCAGTTATGTGACCCAAGGCGAAGCTTGGGGCTACTCTCTATCACCTTCTATGCTGCCCACCCCTGGGCACTTCCCAATCATCTTACAATGTTCTGCTGGCAAGTCTAAAGACTCCGGGGAACCCAAATGTCCCTCTTAGAGTGAATATGGAAACTGGACTTTCAAAATACCAAGTGTAGGAGTCACCACTTTCTGTAGAATTTTAGCAGAGATGTGGTAGATGGAGGAAATAGAATTAAAAATCTTTAAGATAGGAATTTCCATTTTCTAAGAGATTATTATTACCAAGTTTCCTGGGAGACATGCTACACAACCAAATACACTCTAATCATACTCATATCATTTTAGGTATTTAATTTTATGGTTTTTTCTCTACTACTGAAAAAATATGGCTTGAAGATAATTTTTAACAACATTATATATATGAAATATATACTATCACACATATATGAGAAGCGATAAATATGAAAAAGGACTAATATTTTAGTTCTTTTATACTTACTTTATATCCTAAGCCCACCATGTACAATTTTAGGCTGCATTTGAATTTTATCAACAGGCTAAGATTTGAAAGTAAAATAGTGTCCCTTTGTTCAATGTGAAGAACACTGCCATCACTAGCACCCCGGCACCAGCACCCATGTGCGAAGTGACTGAAAGCTCTAAACAGACTACTGAGAATTCGGGCACCTGTAGTTGAAGTGCATTATTGCCTGAAGAGCATTTCCTCCACCCGTTGAAATGTCTCCTTCAAACCCTGGCAGAAGAGGTATCACCACATACACTCGGTATCTCTGGCCTTCCCTGCAAAATCAGATGAACAGAAGTACAGTTGAAAATGACAGCCAAGCAGTTCATATTTTTTTTAAGAGACTGAGTGAATGGTTTCCCAAAACCAATCTACACATTTCAGGGCTTGGGGGTGCTGTTGGATTGGAGAAGAGAAGCTACATCCAGGTGACTAATCTGTAACCTGAACAACAAGCTGAATTTGGCAGTAAGGTGAGAACTATCCCTTGCTCTATACAGCACAATCCTTTGTAAGACAAAATTTAGTGTAAGAAAGATTTGCTTGACATCAGAACATCTCAGAAATGACTATCTCCCAAATTAGCAAGTGAATTTCAACTCTGGATAAGCAAACACCTAGAATGTAGCCTTTGAATCACCTCTTTTAAAATCCCCTGCTAGCTGGGTGTGGTAGTGCATTCCAGTAATCCCAGCGGTTTGGGAGGCTGAGCCAGGAGGATTAAGAGTTCAAAGCCAGCCTCATCAATTTAGCCAGACCCTAAGCAATTCAGCAAGACCCTGTCTGTAAATAAAATATAAAAATGGGCTGGGGATGTGGCTCAGTGGGTAAGCTCCCTGGGTTCAATCCCTGGTACCAAAAAATAAGCACAACAACAAAAGCAAAAAAACCCCTGTTATCCTTGATGGGTAGAATCATAGACTCTGGGACAGTAGTCCTCTGTGTTTCTCCTTTACTAACAAAGCAAGAAAACTTTTTCCTTTAGCAAAAAAAAAAAAAAAAAAAAAAAGAGAGAGAGAGAGAAAGAAAGAAAGAAAAGGAAGAAAAAAGGATTTCCTTCCATCTCCTAGAAGTGGGGTGTGGGGAGTGGGTTATAACCAAGTTTAGAAAAAGGTGTTATCACAGTGTACATGTGTATAACATTACATCCATAGCATCCATAGTACTTAGCTCAGAGCCTAGAAAATAGTAGATATCCATTTGCCAATTAACTGAATTCCCACAACCCAGATCTCAGGGGCAAAAGACACACTAGATTCAGTATATCTTCCAATGTAGAAGTCCTCATTGTGAAGGAACTCTAAAGTTCCGTTGCAAAATGTTATTGTGGGCTCTTTAAGACTCTGGAGTGACTAATGTTTACTTTTAAGTTCTCTGCACATGAAACACAACATTTTTGGCTCATTCTATCAAATGATTAATGACACCTTTTGAAGGAAAAGGAATCTACTTAATGACAATAGAAGAAGAAAATGTGGCTGTTTTGACATGCATCCAGAAATTCAGAAATTTGGAAAGTTACATTCTAATAGGTACCACTTATTTGGAACCCCAAACTGTTAAGTCCTTGTCTCCCTTTGGAAGCTATATAAGAGCAGAAACTCCAGAAATGAAGGTGGTATCTCTTGTGCTCCATGAATCTTGTTCACCCAGAGGTGTTGAATACAGTTCAAGTCTGATCCTATTTAAACTTTTCATAATACACAATTTCTAAAGCTCATTTTCTTCTGAACAACTAAAGTTTTCTTTCATGTGAATATTATTGCTACTCTGAGGGTTGCGATTTCACGGTGCTGTCTCTGAATGCTGAGGTAGGCATTAGGGCAGAAGTGACTGTCAACAGAATGGAATTTGGAGGCCTGGGAGCTTGGCTGCAGGGTTGAGAAACAAGGAATTTTAAGTAGGTTGTTGCAGTGGCATGGATTAATCACTAGATGGCAAACACAGTTTGAGTTGCAAAGAAAACATTGAAATAAAACGTAAACTGTCCAAGTTCTCTGCTTGATAAGGATAAAAAGCACACATCCCTAACTGGCAAAAGGACAGTGAAAAACAACACAAAGAACACCCAAGCTCTTTTCCTGCAGCCAGCACTTAAGGTCAGATGAACTCAATTGGGCATTTAAGAATTGACACCATTTGACTTTAGCTGCTTTTCCAGAATCATCCTTCCATACACACCTCACACCAGTGATGGGAGGCTACGGTCCTTTGCTCAGAGAGGCACCTCCCTACTGATGAGGCAGGTTCATCAGTAATCTGCCTCCAATGAACCCCACTTCTTCAAGGCCACCTGAGAGACTACTCTCTCTGTCAAGCCACCTGGATCTTCAGTCACATTGGGTTACTCTGGCTTCTGTGCTCCCACAGCACAAGGTCAAGAAGTTGATTCAGTACCCTTTCTGCTTCACCTATTCGAGACATGCACTGCTGCCCAGGCTGTGGGACAAGCTTCTTTGAAGCACAGAAGAATGTGCACCTGGCTTTCTACTCCAGGCAGTGCCTAGCGCAGCACCCTTGACTTCAGCATGCACTCAGTTATCTTGGCCTTGGGAGGATTGGGTCAGGTTGGAAGAATGTGTGGTTCTAGGGAAGCCTCTGGGGGGAAAGAGGTTAAGCTCCTTGGGACTTTTTTCTTTAAATTGCATTGCATTTGAATATTTTATTGTGGTAACCTATAACACAGAATTTGCCATTTTAACCACTTTATCAGTGTACCATTAATTTCCAAGCACCATTCATTGCTTTTGCAACGTTGTAAAGCCATCACAACCATTTCCAAAACATTTCCATCATCCCAAACAGAAACTCTGTAACTATTAGATGATAATTCCCCCACTTTCCCTCCCCACAGCCCCTGGTAACCTTGAATTACTTTCTGTCTTTATGAATTTGCCCATTCCAGATTTTGCATATAAGCGCAGTTGTACTTACCCTTTTGTGTCTAACTAATTTAACTCAAGAGAACATTCTCATGCCTCACCCATGATGCAGCATGTGTCACAATATTTTTCCTTTTCATGTTTGAGTAACATTCCATGCTATGTAGCACGCTCCCCTGTTGATGGGAACTTGGGTAATTTCTACCTTCCAGCTATTGTGAGTAATGCTGTTATCAATATTGGCGTACAGTATCTGAGTCCTGGTTTTCAGTTCTTTTCGGTATATATTTATGAATGTTGGTTCATTTGGTTACATTATGCTTAGCCTTTGAGGAACCTCCAAATAAATGACACTTTCCAATGAGAAACATATACTCATAGGACAAAATTTAAGATATAGTGAAAAAAAAATACTCTTTCATTCCTATGTCCCCAGCCCTGTTTAATATAATACATAAGCCCCTGTTTCCCCTCCCTGAGGGCAATTCCAATTTCCTCCATACTCATTTACAAATAGTGTATAAATTTACTATATATATTCTTTCCTTTCACACTAATGTTAGAATATTATAAATGCTTTTCTGAAAGTTATTTTTATTACTTAAAAATGTGTTGGGAACTCCTTCCACATCAGAACATAGTTTTTAATAGGACATAGTATGCTATCGTATATCTGTACCTTAATATATAAGCCACTCCTCTATTGATAGACATTTAAATTATTTCTAATTCTTTTGCCATTTGAAATAACTGCTTTGATATATATATATATATATATATATATATATATATATATATATATATATACTGACTCATATAAGTAATTTTTCAGGCTTATTGGAAAAATCCTAGAAGTGGTACTTGATCTTTGTGAAGGTGTTTGTAAGACAGTTTCACTTTATCCTTGTGTCTTTTAAAAACAAAAATGTCATGAAAAATGGAGCTCTCATATGTAGAATGTTAACTATGTCCTATAAAATTCTATAAAACATTCTTGCAAACTGTCATTCATAAGAATCAGAATATTCACATTTTCTTATTTTTAGGACTTGTTTAGCTTCAGATCATATCAAGTCCTTTGCTGTTTATAATACAGTTATTTGTAATCCCCGCCCCCCATTTTTTGGTACTGCGGATTGAGCCCAAAGTGCTTAACCACTGAGACACATTTCCAGCGCTTTTTAATTTTTTTATTTTGAGACAGGGTCTTTCTAAGTTACCTAGGGCCTAGTTAAGTTGCTGAGGCTGGTTTGGAACTTGTGATCTTCCTGCCTCAGCCTTCTGAATTGCTGGGATTACAGGCATGTACCCCGGTGCCTGGCTAACAGATAAAAATTTTAATCCACCAAGTCCGAGGTTTTTAATTCCAGAAATATTTCAGCAAAATTGCAGAGGTGCATTAAAATAGGTTGGAAATCATAATCTAGAGCTTTTTTAGTATCACATTAACATTAATTAAAATTATAATTATATTAATTAATGTCATAATTCTGTTAATTATATCATAATTGTATTCTTATAATTATTCATTATATACTACATTTTTTATAGGCATTCCACTTCTGGAATGATATGACAAAATGGGTTAAACTAACCAGCAGAAACTAGATTTTCATTGTTGTCAAAAAAAAAAAAAAAAAAAATAGAGCTCTGGAATTTCAAACCATAAACCTGTGGTTGAAGGAAAGCCAGAAAAGAGGACTTTCTGTGTGGCACTATGTCCAGTTTGCCTCCCTGATCCCATCCACAGAGTTGCAGCTGCTAGTCTCCTGAAACACTGCATCCTCATGGCACTGGGATTATGCAAACAACAGCGCTCTGCTTAGGCTCAGGACCCCAGCCCCTAATGTGCAAAAGTGTTTATGATCCTAAAAGCAAGTCAAGAGCCGGTGGGCAATAAGCCACGAGTAACTATGCACCAGGCGGGCAACTGCTTCATCCACTTGAGTTTAGAACAATTTTATAAAATTGTACTCTGAGGCTTCTTGTTAAAATATGTCTTTCTTTAGAAATTCACTAGTTCTCATGGTTACAAGTTAGGAGCTAAAAATTGGAAATAAATGTTCAATAACAGATGATTAACTATGATATAGCCACTCACTGGAATGATCATCTTGCAGTCACTAAAAATGACCACGAGGGCTGGGGTTGTGGCTCAGTGGTAGAGCACTTACCTAGCATGTGTGAGGCACTGGTTTTGATCCTCAGCACCACATAAAAACAAATAAATAAAATAAAGGTATTGTGTCCATCTATAACTAAAAATAAATTTTTTAAAAGATGACCATGATGATGGATCAGTAGCAAAATACTTCTGAGCTGTGTTAACAATGGCCCTCATGCAAAGTTACAATGATAAGACAATGCAAACGTGGCAGCTAATACCATGAACG